GCTAAAGGCTGACAGTTTTGATTTGTCTCGCGTAATTGATGCATTCAATTTTGCATAATTATCAACAAGTTTTCCACTGCTCTTGACAGACACTCGACAAGGTGCAGGTAAATATATGCACATACATATATATATTTTCAATATATGTATTCTTCATATGCCCCACTTATCTCTTTTCATAAATTTGAAAATTCAGTTTAGTTTTTTATAAAGATGCAGCTCTAAGGAAAATTGCTTGATTTCTTATAAAAATTAATACAAATGATTAACTTCATTTAGTTTATTAATATATATCTATAAGCTAAAACTAGGTTCAACTTTTATACCAAGTAAATAATAGAGTATAAGCTTTGTGTAATACCCGTTTGTCAATCTTTATTTATGTACAAATTTTCTATATATTTATATACCCTTTGGTAAACATAATTGTTTATACCTCCGTCAGATAAATTTAAGTTCTACGTGAGTGGGGCCTATATGACTAGAAGTTGACTAAATTTATTGCATAAAATGTCTGAGCTGTCTTATGTCTTTAATAAACGCTATCATTTCGCATTCAGAGCAGCCGCATTGCCTCTAAGTATGAATTCGCTGTTTTATCAATTCGGAATTCGAAAACAAACGACTATGATAAGCAACATTGTGTATACGCCACGTATGGCACAAAACCAAAAAAACATATAGCATCGGCACGTGTTTGTATTCTGTGTTTTCATTTACGTTGAACATTTCTTTTTTTTCCCCTGTTGATTTTACTGGCAACCAGCCAAGGCTAACAGAAAACAATCCAAGAGGCAAGCAAAAAAGTAGGCACAAATATTTAGCCTAGATTGGAGCCTTTCGTCGCCAGCATCGAGTAAAAAAGTAATGTAATAAATTAAAATATAAGTCACTTGATATATGACTTTGTTGTAATATCTCTAAACACATTTATAAATTACATTCTAAACAAGATACAAAAGAGGCAAAAATAGCAAATAGTGAATTGAGCAATTAGCTTGTCATAAGCAATTAAATTAATTATTTATTATATTTCAGTTGGCCAATCGACAAATTATGGATGCTATTATAACTAATTGCTGCAAATATATATAGTATTTTATTTGCTATGTTTTAGACGCTTGAAAGCCTATTTAGTCATTATTTTATAATATATTTATTAGACATATTTCGTATTTGAATGCTCGTTCAATTTAATTAATCGCATAAACAATATTTCATTTTCCACAGAGCGGTTTAAATATGTGAATATGGAGCTAAAGTAGTTCATATAATCCTAGTCAATAAAAAAAATTTTAGAAAATAAAAGGACTCTTGCGAATATCTATATTTTTTGTATTAGTTCAAACTGAATGATGTATTGAAATATGTGTAAGAGTAACTGAATGATGTAACAATAAGTGCCGTTATTATGCTCTGCTTGTGCATGGAAATTCACAGCCATATATGGCTGCAGCTGGCACGTGGCCTCCCTGCAGCCCGCGTTTAATTTAAATATTGCATTACCTGTGAGCTCAGTGGCGGCATCTTAATTGTGCTGTCAATCATTTTGCATATTTGCACAGAGGAAAAATTCAAACAAATGTTTGGTGGCCGTTGCGATGGCCACTGTACGCACAGCAGCACCAACAACAGCACCAACAACAGCAACAACCACATTAGCTAAAGTAATTGAGAAAAAAATATATAAATTTAAATAAACATGAACATACGAGCATCTATCTGTATGTATGTATGCATGTGAGATATACATCGACTAGCTGACTAGCTGACTAGCAGTAGACAGGCCAAGATGTTTCTTTGTGCGTCAAGTGGCCGGATAAATGCGGCCAATTGAGAATGCGAAATGCGAAAATATCATGGAAACAACATTTTCGAATTCCTCATTAGAAGTCACGACAGCCAACTTCAATGCTCGCTGAGGAGGCGTGTCTTGTGTGTTTGTCGTGCTCAATTAGCATTGTTGCCAACAAATATTTATGAACATGCTTATGAAGTGTCCATATCAATGCCTCAACTCATCAATTAGCCACAAGTTCAAAGTTTGAGAGCCAATTAAAAGAAATAAGCATAAAGAGGCCGAGAGACTAACAAGTTTTCGCATTCCCAACAAATATATGTGTATATTGAATCAAATTTTGGTTATAAAATGTTGTTTTTAATATGCATAAGTTCGCAACAAATTGAGTTCTTGTTCGGATTCCAAATCGCTGTCAATTGCTCTGTCGATTTATTGCCACAATCGATGAAAATTCTCAACAAGTTTTGGCCGTCTGTAAACTTCAGCATTTTTGTTTTCTCTTTCTTAGCTGTAGCACTGTTTTTTAAATTTTCTTCTGCTTTCGTGTGATGTTGTTTCGTTTAGTTTTGCTATTGTTTACGCGTCAGCGTCCGCATTGATTGGATCAACTTCAATTTAGATAGTGGGCAGCATTAAATCTAGACAATGCTGTTAAATTGTATTACTGAGCTGCTAGCATTAGGGCGATAACGACTACGGGTGCCCGCTGGCCCCAGCTGGAGTAGTAGGCGGCATTAATGAATTAGATCGAATGCAATCTGGCCTACAGCACATTTACAACTGCTGCGGAATAATATGTGCTGCGATATAATATATGATGCATGAGTGTCTGTTCCTCGTAAATAGATATATCTACATGTGTAGCCTATAAATAAAAAGAATTGAACAAGGCCCATGATGAATGCCTTAGCTTATTTATATTTTCCGTATTGCACGCAACACTTAGTACAACGATGATTGGATGGTCAAAATATGCCAACAATTTTATTGTCTTAAATACGAATAAAATATTAAGTGCGTTCAATTCAATTAATCCTACACGAATACTAAAAATGTTGCATAAGCGAGGCTCTCAGCAATGTGGAATATAAAAATTAAGTATACGCTCTTACTTTTTCGTCGTATATCAATATATAAGACTTTTGCATACGTCATGTTTAAGTAATTTTTCAACAAAAATTGTATTTAAAAACATTTCGAAGGCTAGTACTAAGTTCTATTCTCGTGAGGACTCTAATTGTGATACAGAAATTTATTAGAATTGCTAGCAAAATTGCTTTTAATATACTTTATCAAGAGTTTCTCCAATATAATATGTAAATACATAAATATTCTTACTAATGATTGGAATGGAAAATGCATTCGCTATGTCTGCTCATGACTGGCTGATCACAACTTGTTTCTTTTTGTATATGTTGACTTACTCAAACAGAACTGTCAAGCTTCTTGGAATCACATGCGAAACGAATTGAAACAAACATTAATTGAGAATCGAAAAAATTCCCGATAAGTTTCGGAGCAAAAGTTTAGACAGCTCTGTACCTGACCTCAGCTGGCATATCGATTTTCATCGGAGGCTGTTAGCACTTGTGGCGCAAACTGTTGTAATTTCTATGCCTGTTGCTGACAGCAGTGAAATAGCTTAGCAGTTGGGCTGAAAAACTTGAGGTAATCAACAGGATTTTATGTTGATTTGCCACTAAACTTTTACTGGATTCACTTATCAGTGGAATTGGTCTATGGCCGAGTCGGGGAGAAAGTAAATGGCTTGCTTTTGCCCCCCTCTCCCTTAATGACAGACGGTGCTCGGCCAGATAGTACAACATAATTTCCCAAACACCTTTTCGGATGGCATTAAAACTTTATGCACATCAAGAAAGCTTAATAGTTTAATTTCCTGACAGGGCTTTTAAGGATATACGACTCCAGGGGGAAAACCCCAAAAACCTCAAGTCGCACGTAAAGGTGCGAGACCATTTAAAACGTAGCCGCTGGGTTTTTGCCCTCCGCTTCTTTTCTTTTTTTTTTTTTTCTGGTAATAAATCTCCGTCTGACATGTGCGCTCGCTCGCTGCCAAAGTGTGAGCTGAGTGTTGGGCGGACATTTGACTTTTTTTTTTTTTGAAACTGTATTTGATCAGCCACACAGATAAGCTAGCCAGCAATCAACTTTAACTTTCTCTATTAATTACAAAAATATTTATCTCCCTTGTCGTGGCATATAAATGTCCTCGGCACGCACCTGCCTCGCGAATGTTAAGTGCTCTGTTCGTGTCTCTTTCTGCTGCACTTGCGACAAAACTTCGCTCATTACTTGATGTACTGCTGTTTGCCTTTCCCTAATTGTTCGTTACTCGGCTGATGTATGCGTCTACCGCTACCGTCTGCCACCGCCAGTGCCGGTGGTAAAACAAAGCATGCTAAATAACAAAAAATTAACATTCATGTAATTACGTAATCAGCGGCAGTTGGGTGGAGCACCGACTGAAGGACACTGCGAGGTTTATTTTATGCAGGCGCTACTTTGATTTCCGCTGGCTTCCTTCCGGAACACCTTATTTACATCAGCGCGCCTTTTTGTTTAATTTCTTTTATTTACAATTTGTTTTTTGTTTGTGTACTAACACGAGCACACACACATACGTGTGCATATATATATGTGAGCACACAAATGCTGCTGTTTTTTAATTAATTTTCATTGGCAAATGATGCCTGTTTTCTATTTCTATTGTTGAGTTATTATTTTGCAGTGGCTTGATTAACAACCTGGGCACGTGTCGACCATTGAATTTTAGCCTCAACTCAACTCACTTGTTAATTACTTGCTGTCGAAGCGTTTACATCGTTGCTCTCAGTTCGCTACTGAAGGAGAAGCATGAAAATCAAGAAGTGACAAATTTGACGACATCAAATTTTAAAACGTTTTAATCCAGGCTGAACCAAATGTGTTTATTATTACTATTAATTTCTATTAATTATTCATGCAATTAAGTTTCAGGGAAAGAGTAGGGTAAAGGGCCAAATGGACTGGGACTAAATAAATTCTACCAGTAGACTAGAGGTGAAATCTTCAACTCTTTGAATGTGTATTTAAAGTATAATTTAATAATATAAAAAATTGTACATATTACGTATACGTAACATAAATTATAATATTATCAAAATGATTAATATATCATATAAATATTTAAATGTATTACCTAATTTGATAATAGAAATAGTCCACGATGTTTCTTATGCACAAAATTGTACTTCAATGTGAAGTTTCACCGTAATTAGTCACACTTCAATAAGACTTTAACATAGATAAGATCAGATTCTTTAAATTTTAGTTGAGAAAAGCACATCTTAAAGCAGAGTTTTCTATTGCAAACATTAACGGTTATATTTTTAAAATAATTTAATTATATATATAATTAATTTAAATACACATAAAATGCCACTTGTATTTATATATATTTTGTAATTATTAAAATTTCAGAATGAGTCAACTGCCGAACTCATTCTATGAATGCTCTGCATTACATTTACTATTATTTTTGTTTTTCACTAGAAACTATGACTGAAATCAGCATCATAAAAAAGCTCGCAAAAGTTAGTATTATGACTTTTAGTTTGTTTTTTTTACTAGTTTTTATTGTATCTCAAAGCCAAGTGTTTAAAACTGGCTAAGTTATTCAATAGTGTTTCCATAGTATTTTCTGCTTGGAGCGTATTTAATACATATTTTTCTTCACAATTTAACGTTTTAGATTTTCTTTCTATTTTTCCTACAAACGTCACTCGAAATATAGTTCACAAACCGAGTTCGAAATTCGCGCGCAATATATTTTGAAAATTTATATTTTTCCGCTTGTCGAGACCTGAGCGAATCGCAAGCGAACGCGGCAAAATTTTAAAACAAACTGACAGTGCGAATTTTCCAAACTGGTCCATTGAGTCTGAACTGCCAGTGAAAGGCAGCCGCTGCTTCTGCCTCTGCCGCTGCCGCTGCCTCTGCCTCTGCCGCTGCTGCTCACACTGCTATAGACGATGCCGACGTCGAAGCTAGCGTCGCTCGGCATTTACTTGGCATTCTCTCGGCTCGCTCTCTCACGAGGCAGCCGAACACTGGGAAATTGTTTCTTGCTTTGTTTGGGAAATTTTCTTGGCGCCCAATGATAAAGATGCTTGCCTTGTGTTTGTGTGAAAACCATCTCCACCGCGGTCGTCCTCAGCGCCTGTTAGAGACTGGGGGCGGTAAGTGATGTTTTCTTTTTTTTTTTTTTTTCTTGGTTGTTGTTTTATTTTTTCTTTTCTGTTTGCTTCACGGACGCCACGTGCGCGCCACTGTGCTGCCGACATTGAACGTGCTTGTGCCTGTCCCTCGACTTGTGCGTATTTATGAATGAATTATATTGCAGAATGAGAAATATAATCATTGGTTATTAGAGTCCCAATACAAAGGCCATTCCTCGGAGTTCATTCTGAGGCGAGTACAATGGCATTCGCATTGAAGTCTTACTCTTTAATGTAGTCAAAAGTGCATGATATTATTTGCTTTACCTAAATAAATACAGAAATTAAAAATAGATAAACTTTTTAATAAAATGCAATTACTGAGAATAGGAATGAAATATATGTATATATGTAAGAGTTTATTATTTTTAATATTAAATTTATATTATATACAAAAATGATAATTTTTAAAATAAATTCTGAAAATATATCAAGGCAATTTAATTTAAAATCAACTATTTTTAAAGTTTAATTAAAAAATTTCATTGAATGAAACCTTTCCAGTATTTATAAATATTTATTTCTCAGTATTTTACTATTGAATATGCTTCGTTTTTAAGTCCATTTAAATTGAAATATGGAGCCACTATTCGGGCCTATGGCAATGCCTTTATGGCAATTTGATAAGCCCAGCTGCTTTTCGTATGCCTTTTTGATGTAATTTATTGGAACGTGCATTGCTTGTGCTTCATATTGAAAAACTTTGGCGTATCAAGAAGAATATATATATATATATATATACTTTTCTCTACCTAAATGAGCTTAAACATGTATGTATATATATGTGGCATATGCATGAGTATATATGTATTTATGTATATTTTATGAACGTGTCTGGAATTTCATAGGCAGATTTGGTGAATATTCCTTCAGATATATGAACGGTGCGTATTTGCTGCTTTACAACTGAATTTAATAGCTACAGTGTGCTATACAGAGTGTTTGTCGGCTGACCCTATATATGTAGGTGTATATGTTCACTACATTGAAGACATAGAGCTAGCTCATCTAGAAAGCAAGAGAAGGCTTCGGTTCCAGCGCAATGGGAAAATGGTCCATAACTTGTATTTACACGAACGCAATTTTATGGCTCTCTGAATTGAATTGAATGGAGAGATGAATTCACAGTACGTATCGCATCATGTGCGTACGGACTACGTGCCACAGCACATCGACTAAGTAAGCCACTCGAGGGTGAAGAGGAAGCAAAACTGTTGCTTCCACTCGGCGAATATATTCGCTGCATTTCGTTGCATATTTGCACAAAGCTCTGAATCCTCCTGGCACGTGCCAAGAGACTGAGTCTGGTCATAAAAATATTGCCAGTGAACCAAAGCAAAGCCGGAAAACTTTGCGTAACGCGTCCGGTGGCGTATGCGTAATGTGAGACGTTCTCCCAGCCGAGTGTCGGCCACTCAAGCCACTCAAAGCGGCTCGATGGCAACACGGGCAGCCAGAGCGGCGGCCAAGCCAGCCACAATTCGATGTGGTTGAGCGCCAGTTTTATTTAATGGGGTTTGTCTTGCTTGAATCTCTCTCGCACACACGTATTTGCACACAACAACTGTAAACAGATATAAATATATATATATAGACATACATATACGTACACGTATATTCATGTATGATATGTGGTCCCCGATAAATGTCTGTGCTTTACTTGTTTAGTTGTGGTGCCGCAGCTGCGATTGCTTTAAGTCCCATCCAAGTCTCTACCTGTTTATATTGTTTCTCAAATATCGTTATGAAATCTGAGAGGGCGTGAGGGAGAGCGAGAGAGAGAGAAAGGGTGGGCATGGGTCAATTTATACCGCCCTTTGTTAGCCCAAACAATTGAGTTTATTTTAGTGGATGCCACCTGTACAGAGTATTGTTAACAAATTTGTTTGGGCCTGCCGAAAATAAAATCTATAGGGTTATGCACATTGTTTACCTCTGATGCCAGGTAATCAGCAAGGTAAAGAGATTTGTATTATTGTTCTCTAATTTGATTATTATATGATCACAAAAGATGATTGCCATATGTATGCACAAACGTAATCACTCGCTGAGACCTTTTTCTAAATTTATATAAATGTGAATGAATTAAGGCTTTAAGGCACTGCAAAGGCTGCCTAAGGCAAGGTAAATATTCTTCGTGACAATTTTATTGCAATGATGTGCTTCGGACTTTACGGCTCAGCACGTCCAGCTTTTGGGCCAAGGTGCTTCGAAAATCGATGGGGCTAACTACATCAAAGAGACGTTAAAGCAAAGCTCTCTCTCTCAGCATCAAATGAAGAAATTTTATAATGAGTGCATTTTTATGTTGGTCATCAAATTGAATAATTTTCGGCAAATTTATGATGGGACTTTTTCGGCTATGACCTATACCTTTTGTGTGGGCCATCAAGACGGCATACCCGAAAGTTGTGTCAAATATTTATTTAATAAACAAAGTGGCATTAAGTAGCAACAAAAGCTGGCAACAAACTTGGCCCAACTTGATGGGCAAATTTAATAAAAAAGTTAAAATACTGAATAAAAGACTGCACGGCTTCCGTAGGCTAACTTTTTTTTTCGGATACAACTTTTTGTTTCCCACAGACAGAAGCGAAAGCGTGGCATTTGACGAACAGAGAAATAGAAAGAAGCGAATGCTACTTGAGTATTAATTTGCTAATGCTAAGCAGCCCACGTTACTTATACGCCCCATTTAACAATCACTTTGTGTGTGTGTGTGTCGACTGTGTAAACTCTTTTCAATGCTTGAGCAAAGGCAGTCAAACTTGGCTCAGCTGTTTGTCGATTAAATGGCCTAAAAATAGGCAAGAAAGCGAAGCACAAGCTGCATTCAAATGGCTCGGCTTAAGCGTTTAATCATCGACATTAAAAGCAACTGCTTGTCAGCCTAACATTCTTGCTGCTGTAGTTGCTGGCATTGTTTGCCGGCTTTGTTACTCTCAAAAAAGCCGCCAGCTATTTGTTGTTATCGTGCCAAGAATGCCTTCTATCTATGTGGAAATCTACAGGCAATTTGCCTTGCCTTGCCCTGCCTTGCCTCGCTTGGCTGTGAGTACTTAGCGGTAAACTAAATATTTGCATATTTGTTGTGATTTTGCCTTTATCATAACAACATAACATAACATTCACCCTTCAAGCTGCCATATAAGTAAATGGTTAACTTTCGTTGTGTTTGTGTATACAATATATAAACATACGAATATAAATTCCCCCTGCCGGCTTTAATATGTAAAGTATTCTCCTCTGTTTAATTAAATAAATGATACACATATTCCAACTGCTGGCTCTAGTAATTTATTTGGCTATATTTAATAATATTTAATTCATATCTGTAAATGGACAACGAATGTTGTTGCTCCCTCGATAAAACTTAAATACTTAAAAGCTCTCATCTGAGCTAAACTTAATATTTTGACATCTTGTGTGCACATAATAAATCTTATCGCTTCAGGTCGTAAAGCTAGTCAAGCTGCTTAGCTGTGCGGCTGCTTATGATTTATTTGCAATAATTGAAAATATCTCGAAATATATTGTGGGTCATTGTCAAAGTCATTTTGTAGTTTCTTTTGAAATGTTTAAGGCGCCAGCGAGTGGAATTGACAGCTTTCCCAGAGCATCAATAAATATCAATAAAATATAAAGCAATAAAGAAGACAGTAGCCATATTTAGTATGAATAAAACATACAAACTGAAATTGATAAAAATTGAATTAAATGACGTAAATTTGACTTGGTTTATTCATCTAATTTTTATAAAATTTGTATAACATTTTTTTTTTTTTGTGGTGACTAAACTTTTCCCCTCAATGTGTATTTCAAGAAAATACAAGCTTTTAATTATTTACATTGCTAAGACGTAAAAAGACGTAAAGCTTAGGCAAGGAAATTGATTTAAAAATGATTTCAATTTCAATAACCAGGAGCAACATCATTAAAACGAAGACAACATCGAAACAATGGAAAGCGGATACCTTCAGTGCCTTCATTTGCATGAAACTGATTCATGTACACCCACACAAACACACACACACATACGCACTCATACACACATGCACATGCACGCCCACACATAAATATATCCCTGTGTGTTATGTGTCAGACGCAGTT